TCTACAATCTCCCTCCCTCACATTAATAGGAAACACACTCAAATGGCTTTTTTTTATAAAAGGAACTGAGATTTCCAAAGTATTGGATCTGAGTCTTCGACATTTTCATGCTCTTTGGAAAGACGGATTAAGACTGGTATTTAATAGTCCATTCTTGTTTTAACACCATCTTAAATAACGTTTTATGCTAATATGGCTCTGTAATTTGTTTATATGTTAGGACTGCGCTTAAGATAGTCTTAAATACAAAGCGATTATAAATACCAGCCTAAATAACATATTTTTATAGCGGATAAGTATAATTTAAAAAGGATAATTTTTCCTATGACAAAATATTCAAAATGTATAGAACATTTTTTCATTTGATGATCCGTTTCCGAGTCCTTTCCGTGTACATCTCAATTAACACGCATCCGTTTGTTACTCATATTTCCGTTACGGTAAACTATGATTGCGACATTAGTATCACTATTTTTTCTATCACTCTGTTAATATTTATGATAAAAATCAAAAGTTTTATTATATATTCCCAGCTGTGTAAAAAGAAAAAAAAATAGGAATACACGGTTCCTCTTATATAACAATTTTTTAACTAGCTACTAAAAATATTAATACAGGAATGAGATTATTTTCTTCGCCAAACGGAAAATAGGCAGGTGCGAGCTATGCACGAAAGTGCAACTTATTGCGTGGCGATGCGAAATAGTTGCCGTAACACCGAGCGTAAAGTCACGCACGTACGTGCGGAAAGACACGCAACCTGATTACGCGCAAGTTTATCCTGGCATGCATAAATGCGGAGATATCATCGATCGGCTCTAATATATGTCGTGATGACGTAATGCGGTTAATGAGAGTAAAAGCCCTTGCTATTTTCCCACATTGATAAGCAATACACGACGCTAAGATTTTGTTAAATCGCGAACACGTTCTGAGAATCAGCAATCCGCGTATTCATGTTATGCCGATAAATGTCTGTACATCTAATATTCATACGTAATTATTTTTGAACATAATTTTTAGCTCTTTTTTCATGAAAAAAAAAAAGAAGCTATAGAACAAATTATTGACAAAATAACGATAACTGTTTATAATTAAACATTCTTACAAACTTTTCTGTTACTTCTCGATAAGAAAAAAGAATATTATTATTCGCCTATCATAAAACTGTACAAAAAAAAAAAAAAAACACTTTTACTGAGTTACGTAAAAATTTAGCTAGATAGTAGATCTCAAAGATATCAAAATAATCACGTACGATGCTTATAAACGTTGGTGACAATGCTGTAAAGAGTTTTAACATTCTAGCAACAATTTAAAAGGTCTACGTAATTATTTTGAAAATTATTTTGTATCTAGTTAAATATTTCGGCAAAACCATTGTTTCCATGTGTAATGTCTGCTACATATTTATTATATATCGAAAAATTGCTGCGATAATTTTTGCTTGTGTGTATACAGGGTGTCCCATTCATCACCGATCGATCTACTTTTTGAATAAAACGGTTGAAGTAATCTTGATAATTTTTTTTTTTTTATTTAAAAGTACAAACTTGGGAGTTAATAATGGAATATGATATCTTCCAAATGGCCGCCTCGGCTTTTTTGACAGACCACCAATCTTTTCCCAAAATTTTAAAAATAGCGCGAAATTCAAATCGACCGGTGATGAATGGGACACCCTGTATAACAATAAAGGCCATTGTTTTATCGATTGAATCTTTGCACAAATAGCAAAATCTAATTTGTAATATAAAGTCACCGAGTTAATTGACTCGTCACTATTTCCTCAAGCAGTATCGAATTTATATTGAAAACGTAGTGAAACGCAACGTGGCGTCTCGCCTTTGATAACGACGCGGTATCTCTTTCCGAAATCATTAAGAACCGGTAAAGACGAGCGTCACGGTGCGATACCCTCTCGTGCCAAGAGAAACGCGAAAAAAAAACCGGGATAACGGTCTCGCGCGCGATAATTTGTCATCCGGCAGTAGTAGCAGCCGGCGGGCGGCGAGCTGACTGTTGCTCTTCGTTGTCGCCGATTTCCGATTGCTTTTTTAAAGCGCCGGTCGCCGAGGACATTAATTACCCGGCCAGTGTAAATCACGTTATCTACCGCCCACGCCCGCGAGGGCCGTGAGGAGACGACGAAACGGAAGGGGAGAACGACGGAGGAGGAGGAGGAGGAGGAGGAGGAGGAGATGGAGGAGAATGAGGTGGATGAGGAAACGGAGGAGAGAATCGGGGAGGTGATATTCGAATACGGCGGGGATCGTGTTGCACGATGCGATGGTGTTGCATCGCTGCCAGCCGAGCAAAGCGCACGTCGACGATTGCTTTCCACGGCCGCAACAATATCCTGCTCGCCATTCCCGAAATTTATCGGCGACTCGCCCGAAACTTTCGTTTCGTCCGGTGGCTGCGTTTAACGTGGTCGCCCGCATTTACGTATGGCGATCGATCGATCTCCCGCCTCCTGGATCCCGATCGGGAATGCTGGCCGCGCCGCACGGTTTTTCGCTCGCGCTCCGTAACACGTTTTTCATCGCCGCTGGTTAATTCATCTCGCGCCGCGACAGCAAGGTCACTGAAATAACCGGCTGAGATAACGTTATATTATTCAATAATGTCACACACAATACGTGGTCCAACATAGTCACGAAGCGAAGTCCATTAATTTGCAAAATGATACTCGTGGTATTCTTTCAGTCGATAATTTGGTTGTGATCATAATAATTGTGATATTTAAACATGTAATACTAGTCCACAATTGATGAGACTGTTATATGTCAGTTTTACTAATACTAAGAGTGCATTCCACTTGGCGCTTACAGTGCTCGTGAGCATCATTTGTCTTTGTTTAATATTTGACGACAAGGATGAAATAATTCTAAGAGTGCTGTGTGCAACAAATGGAACGCAACTTAATTAATTTATTAAATTATGTTATCTTCTCTTTAAATCTCACATCACATTTCAAAATATAAAAGTAAAATTGATTTTGTCTCTCTCTCTCACCGTTATTTTTTAAATTAATCCCGAATAATCAGATTTTTGTTATGCAGATTTTTAACATTTTTTTAAATGCAATTTAGACTAACTGCTCTTATTATTATATACAACAGTAGATAAAGTATAATTTTTAAAACTTTAAATTTAAAATTACAAATAAAATTAAGATAAATGTAGCATATATGGCGTATATATTGCATATTATATTCATAATATATCTTACAAATACTTCAAAGACAAGTATAATTCTATGCATCGTAATTCAACATTGGATTTTATTCTTTACTCTTCATTTTTGCTATATCGCGACAATCGTCCACGGGATTCAATTCAAATTCGTACATTAACCATCATTCAGGACGGTCATTCAGTTCAAGGGAAATCTTTAGTCACGTCTGTGTCTCGAAAGATCGTCTCCAAATTTTGACGGGACTCGTAGGGTTCGAGACAAGATGGTGGGTCGATGATGGCGGCGGGTAGTTGCGAAAATGTAGAATGACGAGGGAGGAGCGGTTACAGGGTTAGCCGGGAGCGTATCCATGACAACCGACCGCCCCACGTACCCTCCGAGATCCCGGATGCTCCCCTCGGCATCCCAGCATCCCTCCCTTTCCTCCCTCCTCCCCCTTCCGCCCCCTCCCCCCGTTCTTCCCGCATGCTCCCTTCTCACTCACCCACTGCTACCCCCGCGGTTCACTCTCGGCGTTTCGCCCATCCCGGGCAATCCTCTACGTCCACCGGGGGTTTGCTCTATCTTCCCCTATCTGTGGCCCGCTCCGGGGGATGCACGGCTACTTAGATTTTAAGTCGAGCCATTTCGTGCCGCGTACCTACCTATACCTAACTCGGCTATAATTCTCGCTAGATACAGACGTGCCGACAAAGGAGTTGGATTCTCCGCGAAATTTCGGCCCTCGCTCTCGCGCGCGCGACGGAATTTCGATGCGAGCGCGAAGCACGAATTTCGCCTGGCACAAAAGCCTCGCTAGAATTAAAACCGTCGACATCGTTGAACTCACGGTTGTACTCCGACGTCGTATTTTAGCTACACGGTAATTCTCCAGTAATGGAATGTCGAGTTGGAAACGGGCGAAACTTGGTTATGAAATTTACTGTAATTATAAACGGTAATTATAAATTTAGCAAGGAACAATTCTTGAGAAATGAAATGCGTTGAGACAAAAAGGACGGACAAAAAGAAAAGTAATTGATTATCAACATTATTGTATACAATAATTTTTTAATAATTATGTCATTATTATTGGATAAACGAGTAGGTTTGGAAAAGTATTGACGAATGTAGATTGTTGGTCGTGAACACTTTTCCAAATTCATCCGTCTGTATTAATTATCTCAATAGAAGAGACCAAGAGAAGGATGTAGTTGTTAATTAACGTTAACATTTGGCCATTTATGGTGATTTATGATATATAAAAATTATTACATTCTATATTGATAAGAAAATTATTTTAATTAGAGTTTAATTTTGTTTTCGTGTAGTGTAAAAAATCTGAACAATTAGCCGAAAATTAATTTCCACACGAAAATTTATTTCAGAAAATATCTGCATTGAGATTCAATGCGATCTCATAGTAATATAATTGAATGTTGAATACAAATATTTTCTGCATTTATTTCTTTTAACTTGTCACCTAATCTGCACTAACACCAACAGAGTTGAGGGGCAGCGGAAGTGCTGGTCATTGTGTCAGCATGTTTCAGGGTAATGCATGTATTTAATGTTTACCGGTCGAGCACCATCCCTCGGATAGCTTGTTTGC